ACTTTATATGTAACAAGATGCTGTTGAATATAACCGAATAAATCGTGGAGAATTAATTCATCTGCAGCCATTAACAAATTTAGAATATCTACACCATCATGTTTATCTAAAGCTATTCTACCCGTATAAATATATCTATAAAAATTCTTTATAAATTAATCATTAAGAATGAAAAAAAGGAACCAAAGATTTCTTTTTAATTACCTAAGTACAACTTCAAAAACTTCGGCCGAAACATTAGGTTTAGAAAAAATAATAATTCCATCTTCTTGTTTAACCCAAGTCTCAGATAAAGCTGTTTGAAAATATGGACATCTCGCTTTTAAAATTCCAGAATGAGCTCGAAATGATTTTGTATTAGGTTCTTCACCAGCTTGGATTACTACATTATAGTCGGTACCTTTTTCTAGTAATTGTGTTAAATCTCGTAATAATATAGTCGTGAAATCTGTCATCTGTTAATAAAGGATAGTGAAACAAAAAAAAAATATACAGAAAAAAAAAACAAAAGATGTACAGTATATTATATGAATGTGATTGTTTAAAAAAAAAATGATTCAAATTCTTCTAAAATGTTTAAGTGAAGTTTAAGTGATTTTCGTCCGTTTTTTGATTAATAATTAATCTATGTGTGAAAAAAATACCGAATTAAAAAAAATCGTTCTCTTTTTGTGCAAATTAATCCAAAAAAATCTTTTGTTCGTGAAACAATGTCAAAAAAGGAATGTCAAGAAAAAAATAAAATGGAAAACGCTCTAAAATGAATGTATATGTAATATTTTTTTTTCTTTTCTGTAAGACCAATCGATGATCTCGCTCGTAGAAGAAATTTAAGGAAACGAGTTTGATAACGATCGATGAACCTCTTTTTTTTTTCAATATGTATTTATGAATTATGAAATATTATGCGAATCAATGTAGATGATTTATATTACCAATAAACTGCGGTTCAAAATTAAAAATGGTTTGTTTGTTTTTGTAAAAAAAAACTCCCAAAATAGAATTATTGAATCATGAAATTTGATCAACAGGAGGAGAAAAAAAGATCTCTCTCCGTTTAAATCTTATTCAAACCTGACTAATTTGTAATTTCCGACAAGTGTTTGAACTCGTAGTTTACGTAGTAATATTCGCGGATCACGGGAATTTGATCCTATCCTTTTTGGGTCTCTAATTTATAAGGATATTATGGTCAAACCATTTATTTTAACCTGCATACTTCAACCTTAGAAATTGAATAACTTAGAACTTTCCAAGTTAATATCATGTGGTTTGAGAAACCGATAACGATAACAAAGAAATTTGCATTTAGTTTTTTTTTGGCCTAATAATATAAAACAGTAATCGCATTTATGCATGCACGACATTATTCACCCAATTAAACGTCGTACTAATATAAATACTACAACATAATGAAGCATTTATATATGTACAACGTTATCCATTAAGAGTGTGTTGAGT